CCATTCTCCTCTCGGGATCTTGGGCATGCACGCACACACGCCCGGTGTGAGTTTAAGCCACCGGGTCCAGGACTCGAATGGCAGTCGACTACGTGGGAGTCCAGCGACATAGCCATTACGGTAACTGCTGGTCCCTAGAAAATCTTTTTGCCCTTAGCAGATATTTGTACACACACACACTGTATTTGTTCTAACATTTTCAAACATGCACAGATAATCGGGGAGCCCCACGTACCCCCAGTCCTGTCTCCCACCACAGCCGGCCTTGGGCTGGTCTGGTTTGGCTGGAACAAACCCTGGTAAGACCTGACTCATGAATAACTCGTCGTAAGTGCTGTGGAGACTCTTGTGACCACAGTACCGATATGCCGCCAGTCGAAGTGGATGCATGTCTTAATACTGTCTGACGCTGGCTTTACAGTGGGACTTCCCTGTGGCCTCAGACCCTCTGTACGGCTTGTCGACTCTCGTGGGGCAGTCGCAGCGGGGGTGGCCAAGACCGAAAATCTGCAGTCCCCACAGTCACCTCCCGTGTCATCTGCCCTGCCCCCTTGGGCAGCCTGAAGGTGGCGAGTGTCTTAGCCACTTAGCAACGCTGCGTGTAGCTGCTCTCACATGGACGTCCGCTTCCCCCTGGGCTAGGTGGCACTGAGACCAGGACTGCACGTGCGGGGAGAGCAGCGCCCAGGTCAGAGCTGCGGGAAGGGAGGGTGGAACCGGCCAGCCAGGAGCAGCCGCAGGAAACACTGGGCCGGCCTGGAGCCCGCCGGACTCCCTGCGGCCTCGGCAAGGCACTTGCTCTTCTGTGAGACAGAGAGGGCATGCTCAGACCCTAGCTGCAGCGCACACACCTGTCCAGAGAGAAGCCAGGCCAGGTTATCACCAGACACGGCGTTATTCTGCAGGGACCTGACCTGAGCGCAGCACCGAGACGTCCACTGTCCACCTGTCCACCGCTGCTGCCTGCACCTGGCAGATGCTGGAGACATTGTCACCTTTGCAGGGCCTGGTCACACGATGGATGGGGACTCCCTCCCGGGAGGTGAAGAGCCCGGGAAGGGGCGATCGTGACCTGGCCGTGCTCCAGAGCCCTCCTGTGTGGCCAGGCTCCTAACCACTTCCTCCAGAATCCCGTGAACAGACCCCCATTCACAGCGCGAAGGAGAGCTGTGACCAAAGGCCCGGGTTCCCGGCAGAGCGAGGGCAAACTCTGGAGGTCAGGGTGAGCAGGTGCTCAATGACACCAGCAGACGGATACTCGATGACATCATTCAGGTGCTTGATGGTGTCATGCAGGTGCTGATGACGTCGTAAGAACGGGTGCTTCATGGCGTCATACATGCAGGTGCTGATGGCGTCGTGCGGACGGATACTTGACGTCGTGCAGGTGTTCGATGACGCTGTGTGGATGCATGATGACGTCGTACAGTGCTTGATGCTGTCAGGCAGGTGCTTGGTGATGTCATGTGGTGCGTGATGGCGTCGTGTGGTGCGTGATGGTGTCGTGCATGCGGGTGCTCGATGGCATCATATGTGTGCTTGATGATGCCATATGAGTAGTCGATGACATCATGCGGGTGCTTGATGGTGTCGCGTGGGTGCATGGTGACATCATGTGTGTGCTTGATGATGTCGTGTGAGTAGTCGATGGCGTCACGCAGGTGCTTGCTGGCGTCCTGTGTATATAGAAATAGGCAACGAGGGTAGGTCTGAAATGTCCTCTCCGTGAAAACAACCGCAGCAAACCCTAAACCCCGTGGCTGTGCTCCGGGAGATGGGTACACTCCGTTGGTCCCAGGGCCGTCACACTGAGCGTGTGGAAGCCCTTCTGCTGGTGCACATCCGCACGGTCTCATCTGTCGGTCCCAGCTCAGTAACCTGGAGGTGAGGCACAG